GCTCTACGCTTTGGGAAAGCCCGAAATCCTACGCCCTAAACCCTCATCAACCTACTTCCTCAAGCATGCTGCAGAGGACGCGACCGAAGTGAGCACTGGTCAGCTAAAGTCTTTCGTTTTGTGCGAGGACCCGGGCCGAAGAGACTTCGGAGCTTGGCATACTTTGAGGTTCATGGTCGTCCGGAGGCTTTGTAGGTGTTTAGGGTTTAGGTCTTAGGGCTTAGGGTTTAGGGTTTAGGGTGTAGAGTCACGTGTTCGTATAGGTTTGTGGGAACATGTTCAGCGTTGGGGCTTACAAGTTCCTCGGAGAGCACTCGCGAGAACTCTACACAAGAGAAGTTCACCCTAAAATCATTTGAGCCAGAATCTGTAGAAACCCCTTCACCCTCCAAGCCAAAAACACCTCTCCAAAACTCCTTTTGCCGTGAGGACCCAAAGCTGCGGGTTATCCCATCTTTTCTCTCCGAAGATGAGGCCTTTCAACATCCAGAACGAGATTCTGGGGGTTTCCGAAAATGAGGGACCCAAATATAGTATCAAATGGTAGGATCCTTATTGTAAGGACCCTAAAAAGAGGGTATCCCTAATATAGGGGCCTCAAGAATTACCTATACTATTCCTGGGGGTTCCTAATGATAACTGTAGTATACTGGGCCCCAAACCCCTGTTTTAATGAGCTTTAGGCTTTCTGGGTCGGCGCGTACGGGACGGGGAGGGGGTGGAGGGGTACGGGTGGGGGGGGAATGGCTCTTTTCTTGTGGTTAAGTATGCCCTGACAGCCGCCGTTGAAAGGACCCTTGATAGGAACCCGATTCTAGATGCCAAAGGTGAAGACACTGCTGGCCATCCTGAAGCCTGCGGAAAATCAGCAGGTGCGAAGTTCAACCCTGGAGGGGTTTGAGGGGTTTAAGGTCTAGGTTTTAGGGTTGAGGGGTTTGGGGTAGGGTGTAAGGTTAGGATGCATGAAGCCTTGACCCTCAGCCCTTATCCTACCCCCTGTAAAGATTCAAAAGGCGGCACAAGAGTCAATCGTATTAATGTGTGTATACATGTTGCTTATGCACATACACACATATGTATATGTGTATGCTTTTCGATATGAGCGGCGTTCTAAACTCCGGCTGTGGGAGTTTATATAAACGTTAAGATTTGTCTGGTCCGCGTCAGCTGGGACTCGGTGCGCGTCAGTGCGCGTCAGTGAAACTATAACTTTGCTCATGCGCTAGCTGACGCGTCAGTGGCCTAGAAACGAGTGTTAACTTCTGCCATGTCGTGCTCGTTAGGCGCAGCTCAAGAGTCGTGGAAGCTCTGGGTGATTGGATGAGGCACATATTCTACGACAAGCTTCTTATTTTGTATAATATAGAAATCTTAATGTTTATGTCTATGGGTCTATGAGTGTGCCTTACTACGTCGTATTGCTGCGATACACACTGTTGCGGAACTCGTGAGGCCACGAGGTTTCTCCCCAGGACTCATGCGCTTTCACAGGCGACATGACGCGAGGTTTCATTCACGTATCTCTCAACTTTCCCTCGCGTTCATAAACGAAACTTGCAAGATACTGTATCTACATGAACACACAGACAAGATCGGAAACTTAAAGGACTACACAGCTTACATCGCAGTCTGTAAGCTTTGCTTATTGGGGGATGTTTGTCCAGACCATGTCCGAGACTTCGCAGTCTGCAAGCTTTGCTTATTGGGGGATCTTTGTCCACACTATGTCCGAGACTTCTCAGTCTGCAAACTTTGCTTGTTGGGGGATCATGTCCGTATACTACGACTGCTGCTGCTTCTGCAAGAAAGGAACACACCGACATAGCAAGCAAGAACAAGTAGATCCGAAAATTTTGTTTTACATGCAGTAGTGCGCGCTAGCTGCGCGACAGCTTCGCGACAGTGGCGCGTCAGTGAAGGGTCGGTTTGGCCACCCATTCCCCTTCCTTCCCTCAGCCCCGCTCTTCCCGAAGCGAGCTGCTCAAACATCCTAGTGGGGTTGAAGCGTAATGGCTGCCAAAGGCATACGCTGGAACGACCTCACCAAGCAGTACAAGTCCAGTATTGTTAGTTCCGTTTTGAAAACTTTGCTACCGCACATTCACGATGAGTCGGACTTCAAGAATATGATGAAGCATATTCTGGGGAGCATGGCGCGTGAACAACCCGAAGTGAAAGCTTCCGTGGAGTCTTTTTCTGAGAATTTGGACATGCAGTGTATTGTCTCTGTTGTTGGTGGTTTATCGAGCTTGCGGCAGCAGCATGGTGTAAGGAAAGAAAACCGTGTTTCCGGCGAAGCTTTTTCTTGCCGTCCCATACAACCCCGAAACAGCAGTGGTAAAGAAGGACGTGTTCTGGGAATTCCGGGAGTCTGGTTCTGTCTCGGGCTTTAACATCCGTTACGCGGTGATAGTACCGGTGTGCTGCAGCATGGTCTGTTGAGCTTGTCTTCTTTTCGAATCCATAACGTCGTATACTAGAATCTGGGTGACACAGTCCGTTTTGGAGTGTTTTCCTGTGTGTGCGTCAGTAAAGTTGGTTTCAAACTCCGAAAACTGCAACGCGTCAGTGCGCGTCAGTCAACATAGCTGAAAATGTCTGCGCGTCAGCTCCTCTGCAGCGCGCGGCAGCAATGCGACAGATTTGGCGCCAGCTGCACATTTTAGAACAGCATGACCAAAGGGTTTAGACCACCGCACATATGTGTATGTGCAGTATGCATGTATATATATATATATATATATATAAGCATATAGCCGTTCTCTCCACAGGATGTGCAGTCCCGGGGGTGTGGGGCTTAGGATCTTCAGACCTTCGCATCCACAAAGGCCGCTTAGAGGAATGCAGGGGCCGGGTCTTGGCGCATATTGTGTTTGGCTTTTGAGTCTAAGCATCCGGAGTCCTAGTAACCTTCACCCTCATCCCAAGTGCAGAAGCCCGTGGCATAGATCTATGTGGAAGAATTATATATATATATATATGTATATATATATATATATATATATATATATATAAATTGGATTGTGTGCCAGAGATGTACAAGTGAGAGCGAAGCCGCGTGCAACACCTAGCAACTAGGCCCGGCCAATAGTTTCAATGGGCTCCCAGACGCAGGAACCAGACTTGGACAGCATTGCCAGGCCAGACTTTTGCTACGAGCTTTGAGTTTGCAGACCTTCGAGCTGTCACACAAACTAGCAGGTTCAGAGCTCAGTAGTGTGGGATTGTGCGCCTTTGGATTGTTCAGGGTTGGCTGGAACTAGGCCTGATAGCTTGTTCCTGTATTTATGGCTTCTTTCGGATTGTAGTGACCTTCGGGATTCGGCAAGTCCTTGCTTCACTGAGAAGAACATCTCGTGGACCCTGTGTCCCAGCTTCGGGGTTCAGGGCTGTCCTTGTCGTTACAGTATGTTACAGTTACTCTTTCGGTCTCACTAGTCGCGTTTTACTGTAGGTACTGCTACGGCTACTCGTGCTGTTATCTTGAAATGCAGCCCACGCCCAAACACCTCGAACTGCCGCAGAATCGAGCAGCGCATGGCCAACGTGGCGGGCTACCCTGTTCGCCACATGGAGCCGCTGAAAGGCAAGAGAATTCTCGCAAGCGTTGTCTTCGTAGCTGAGTGGGCAACAGTTATAGTCGTTTAAGCGCTTTGGGTATATGTAATCCTCCCATAGAGTTATGGTGCAGTGTGTAGGGCGTACGATATGTTTCTCCTAGTGGTGGTGTGTTTCTGGGGTCTCAGGTTCACGACGACGAGTCGACGAGCTTTTGGTCTGTTGCTTGATGGCTCGAGCTTAGCTTGACAAGGCATGCTGCTCACAAGCAGGAACATCGCCCTCCCACCCCAAACGAAGGCGGAGATTCCGGGTAGAAGGCATAGAAGGCTGTACAGGTTGAGCGAACAAGCAGAAGAAAAAGCCAGTTGGCAGTGTTTCGAGATCGAAGGCAGCAATTCGCCAGCCTACAGGAGAAACAAGTCATGGGAACAAGGCATGTTTTGAACAAAGAACATGCTTTCGCGTGGATACATCCAAGCTTCATCTCCAAACTTCGCGACCACCGGTCGGTTTTAGATGCCTGTAATCTCTCCTCGCTGAGCATTCGGGAACTGCTGAACAGCTGGAGCCTAAGTGGACCATCTCGAGTTTTTGGGCTCACTATAGGGGCCTAGATCAATTACCAATACTACGGTGGGGGTTCCTTTTTTTTGGGCTATAGTATACTAGACACTGAAATCCTATTCCAGTTATTCAGGCCCCTCATGATGGCGTCTAGAGGTTTCGGAGTGGGGGCGTTTGATTTTGTGGGTTTCAGTGGCGTGCAGGGCTCGAAGGTACATGATGAAGGCATCAGGCCTAGCGCGTATGGCTCAGGTTGTAGGATCTGTGATTTCAGCACTAGACTGTCTGGTTGTGAGTAGGGAATGGGGGAGTGGGTTATGAGGGATATTATTGGGGATTACTTGGAGGGGCAGGGGACTTAGTAAGTAGGTTATAAGTAGAGTTATAAGTACCCCAAATGGAGTTACCACAATTATAACCCTACTTATAACCCTACTTACTAAGTCCCATGCCCTTCCAAGTATATAGGGGCTACCAGGGATCCATTCCCTCATTCCCTACTAAGAACCAGACAGTAAGTTACGATAATCAGGAAACCACAATATTTACTATAGATCCCTATTATGGTAACCCTTAAACCTTAAGCCTTATAGGGATCCATTCCCTCATTCCCTACCAAGCACCAGACCGAAGGGGCTGATGGGTTGAGTTCTCGCTTCTTGCAAGAAGGGGCGGCTCCTGGACTTTTGCCCAGGAGAGGTCCGAGAGCTTAATAAGAATAGGCTTCCTTTAAAGGGGTCTAAAAGGGCTACTATAAGGGCTCTACAAGGGATCGATAAGGGCTCAACAAAAGAGCCTCGATATTTTAGGGCCCAAAGTACCAGGTAGTTATGGTGAGGAACCCCGCAAAACAGTATTGGGCCCTAGCTGAGGCGATGGATGATGAGGAGGTGCTCATCGAGGAAGTGCCCAGAGAGGCTCAAGCAACCCGTTCTGGGTCCCCTAAATATTAGGTGCCGTATTAAAATAAGGACCCAAAAAGGGATACTCATTTTGACAGCCACCCATATGTGCCCCTTCACTCCGGAATTCGCAGCACACGGCTCCGGATTCTGGGATCGTGACAGTGCGATGCGAGTTTTGAGTCAAAGCTCAAAAGTTGTTCTTGCCACTGGCCCGAAGCTGAACAACGACGCAAACAGGCGGTTCATGTACCCGAAGCCCTACACCCCACCCTAAATACCAAGACCCGAAACCCTCAACCCCAAGCTGAACGCGAAACAGTTCAACCCCAAGCTGAAGCCGGCAGTGCTGTGACCAGGCACCAAGTAGCGCCGACGCCAAAATGGTCGAAGGACTGCAGTTCTGCTCCTTGGTCTTCTCCGTAAAATCCGAAGCCACAAAGCCTTACCCAAATCCCCAAACCCTAAACCCTAGGCCCTAAACCCTGGAAGGAATTCCAGATTCCTAAAACTTCTTAGGCGGACGGAAAAGGTGTTCAAAAAAAAACTTTGGAAGGACCAAAGCCAAGTAAATCCCGAACTAGCTGGACAGGAGCCCCAGAGGAGGGAGGGCCTGCCGAGGAGGCTGAGGCCCGTTGAGGGCTTCAGGGTCCTAGGCTTTTTTCTTGAGGGTTTAGGGTTTAGGGAGTTTGGAGTTTAGGGTTTAGGGTCTATAGGGCTTGGGGTAGACAGTTTAGAGTTTTTTCGGGTTTTCGCGTTGGAGGGGTTGAGGGTTTGGATAGGATGCTGAATATAAGGAAACCCCCGAAGAGGCCCCGTAGTTGAAGAAGCCCTAAGCCCCTAAACCCCTAAACCCCTAAGCCCATAAGCCCCTAAGCCCCTAAGCGCCTAAACCCCTAAACCTCAAAGCCCCTAAACCCCTAAGCGCCTAAACCCCTAAACCCCAAAGCCCCTAAACCCCTAAGCCCCTAAGCCCATGTCGGCTGCAACGGCAGGCCGACGACGCAGAAAACGGAGAGGAAGAGGCGCTCAGCCTGCTCCGGAGCCATCATTTCTCGGATTCTATATGGGAGTTTTCGAAAATAGGGGTACCAAATTTTGGGGTCCTAATAATAAGGGTCCTACAATTTGGGGTACCATATTAGGGTCCCCTATGGGTGGTTGTCAAAATTCTGGTCCCTTTTTGGGTCCCTATTATAATACGGCACCTAATATTTAGGGTACCCAATTAGGGACCATCATTTTGACAACTACCCATTTGTCGGACTCTATATCTACATAAACGAAAGTAACAAATGTAAGAACAGACGGTACTTACTTACGTGTGTTTTGGGTCGTGATTCTGCGTGTCGGTCATATCCTCAGCAACATGTCCCTCGTATAGGATGGATCCAGCTAGCTAGCTAGCTATCTAACTATCTATCTGTCTATCTCTCTGTCTATGCATCTATCTATCTGTCTGTCTGTCTATGTGTCTTGTCTGGCTATCTATCTATCTAACATTTCAGAGCCCTTCCTGCTGTGATCTGCACAGGATACTCGGAGTGCATCAGACAAGGCGCTGGATGCAATCGAAGCTGCTGGCACCTCAGGGGTGAGCTCTAGACCGTCCCTTGAGCTAGCCGGCTTACAGCTTCCAATGCATGAAGAAAGCAGTCAATATGTGATTGCATCTAGCAAAACAGTATGCGACATAGTAAATCCGCATATCACGCTGGGTAACCTGGTGTGGATATGCCAGACATGCACAGACACCACATACTTGCATACAAACATACATCATGCATCCATGTTTACTTACTGACAACTGACAACCTCCCCCCTTGTTTGAGGAAAAGAAGAAGCTGAACGCACTTGAGCAGCTGGAAACAGCGCTGCTGTGGAAGGCGCTGCTTTGGCTTCACTCCGCGCAATGCGACACAAACGAGAAAAGCCTTGGCATGTAGGGCTTCGGTTTAGGCTGGAGGGTTTAGGGTTTGGGGTTTAGCGCATTCTAGGGCTCGCAGCGGTCGCAGCTGCAATGCGGGTTGTAGCTGATCCCTAATCTGATACACTGAGTTGGGAGGGGGGCCCACAGAAGCAGGCGGAGGGCAACGACTTCTTCAAGAAGGGCGAACTGTTCAAAGCAGCAGACTGCCAGATTCCCAGTTAACGAGCCCATCCTCGGGTTCATGGTTTGTTTTCGGGTTTTGGGATTTAGCGTCTTTTGGATCCCTGGAAGAATGCTACCTGTTGCGATGTGACCAAGGCTACTACCATGCCATCGTTTTTGCGCGGGCGCGGGGACCGAGATTCAGGGGGTTTGTAATTTCTATTGGTGGACAAGCGTGCGGACAAGCAACTGCCGATCGCTGCGACCGCAGCAAGCACTGGAGTCATTCCTGAAATTGTTCAGCTCGGTAGCCTGGGCATTCAGTAGCATAAAGAGTGTGCAGCATGTAGGTTCATCTCTGAGGCGTGAACTCTGAGCCTCAGACTTGACACTTATGTTTACCCTAGACCTTCCTTGGGGTAAGGATTTGACAAAGAATCCCGACCACTACCCAGAGATCAAGCACACGCGCCGACCTCAGAAAGGCAAGCTCCCATATTCCCTCTGGGGTTCTTCAAGAAGAGTGTTGTGCAGCTGAGGCAAACGAGCCCTTAAACTTGACCAGGAGTTTGATGTTCTCGACGGGGTCCATGGTTCAGGCTTGATTTCGGGTAGCCGCATCCCAAGGAGTCGCCAGATCGGCTTGCTCAGAGCCATGGAAGGGCAAGGCATGTAAAGAGAAAGGAGCTAAGTGCTGATGGGTATGGTGGAACTCGTTGTTGTCAGCGACATACCACCATCGTCCATACTGGCCATACTATAGCCCCCATTCGGGGAGGGTGGCTTGTGCTTTTTGGAGCTTCCGCGCAGCGACTTCCGAGCCAAGGCAGTTCGAGAGAGGCAAGGCTCAGGACGCGCCCCCGTGGCTCGTTGGATGCGTAGGGTTTAGGGAGTCTGGGGAGTTTAGGGTTTAGGGTTTTTTGGAGTTTAAGGAGATTCGAGAGTTTAGGGTTTAGGCTTTCCGGATCATTTATGCTTGTGTACGACCATGATCATAGCCCTGGTCACTGCTGTGTTTCAAGACCCTAAACCCTGAATCCAAACCCTGAGGAAGGGCACGAGACCTCATGCGGAAGTAAGAGGTAGCACAGCAGCACGTAACACCCTAATGCAAATCCCAAGTCCTAACCACCTATTCAGGCCCCGAATCCTAAACAACCAAACCACCGAAAATCCCAAAACACTCAGGCAGAGCAGAACTTTCGAGTTTGGTCTGCAGGAGATGTGCGAATCAGTCTTTACCAACTTGGCGTGCCGACCTCGGCTTCGAATCTCAAGCCATGAGAATCTATCTGGGTGGTTGAGAAAATCAGGGTCCTTTCTTGGGTCTCTAATATAGTACGAGACAATAATTTTGACAACCAGTCATCTGAGTCTGTCTGAGCTTCAAATCGTCCGACGTCACACCATCCTCGGCGTGTCCTTCGCCGGTCACAGGTTCCAGGAATTCGGCGGAGTCCGAAATCGTGCTTCCACCACCTCACACATTTTGGAGTTCGACTCGTGTTCCCTCCGCAGTGCGGTGGGTGATCTGGGGTGCCGATCGTCCTCCCGGCAAAGTGTGTCAATTTCAGACTTCTGGGCTTCTTGGGCATACGAAGCTTGGACAGCTTCCGTAGTCTCCCCATGCCCCAAACTCTAAACGCTTGCAGATCTTCATATCTTCACATCTCAATGCCCGGCAGTTCATCACAGCGACAACAGCATCCGTGAGAATAGAAGACAATCTTGAAGTCTCCCTAAGCCCTTACATGCCGTAAGTGCCCTCTCGTTCAAAGTCGGAGGCTTGTACAGCTAAAGTACGGCAACAGCCTCGACAAGGAAAGCGCGGAACGGCCCAAGGTGGGTTCTTTCCAGACTCTGTACATCTTCGGGTGTATATGCTTGGGCATATAAGGTAAAAGCCAGAAAGTTGGAATATGATTATCCTAACCCTTCTATGGTAAACTATAGGGTATCCTACCATGAAACCATATTCCATGTAGGGTTTGGAGCTTCTGCTGGGGTCTGGGATGCAGAGTGTGGGAGAGTTTTCACTGCGAGCTTCGGAGCGAGCTCTGTCTGTGCTGTTGTGATATGACCGGCATTGCCATGCCTTTTTCCCATTTTGAAAGCTCTTCTGAGAACGGTCCTCATAATGAGATGACAAACATCAAGCACTAGGTTCCGAGAAGCTCTGCATCTCCAAAGCAAGCAGCCAGACTTGAGCACATGCCACTAACCAAGAAGCAAAGCTCAAGTACCCTAAACCCTAAACCCTTAACCCTAAATCCTAAACCCTAAACCCTTAAATCTTAAATCCTAAACCCTAAACCCTTAAATCTTAAACCCTAAACCCTAAAGCTTTCAAAGAGCCCTTTAAAGAAGCCGCAGGTCTTCCGAGAGGGAATCAAATCTGCCTCCGAAGCCTTGAAGATGAACTCCAACAACGCCGGCTTCCTCAGGGCTCTAGGTTTAGGGTTATGGTTTAGGGTTATGGTTTAGGGTTTAGGGTTTGGGGTTTAGGGTTTGGGGTTTAGGGTTTAGGGTTTGGGGGATTTAGGGGTTCAGGTTTGGGGGGGCTTTGAGTTGGGTTTAGAGTTCCGGGGTTTGGGAGTAGAGAGTTTTGGGGGGCTTGCTTCAGTTTCTAGTCAGAGGTTACAGGGTTCAGGCCGCGTTCTTGGGTTCCAGGGTTTTGTTAGGTTTTCAAGTCGTCGGCTCCTGGGGGGGGGTATGGATTATATCGGGGTTTCTACCTGTGCAATTCTGAGGAGTTTCAGGCTCCAGGGACCCTTGGGCAGACCTTTGGGCCTTCGGGCTTTATCATTTTAGGTTGTAGCCTACCCCAAACCCTAAACCCTTAAGCCTTAGGCCAGAGCAGCCTGCCCTAAACCCTAAACCTTTAGTAGCCTACCCTAAATCCTGAACCCTCAGGGTCTTGACCAACCGGTTTCGCTGCTTACAGGCGTCGGGGTTTTAACTTGTGGAGGCCTCCGGTGTCAAGTCAGGGCCCTAAGCCCTAAACTTGATGCTTAAACGCTAAAAACTAAACCCTAGAACCCTGAATCCTACAACGTAAACCTGAATTGAACTCCAAACTCTGACACCCTGCAAGGAACTCAGCCTGTCAGTGCAGGCTAAGTCTGCGCATCACGCCTGTAAAACGGTATATGTGAGGCTTATGATATAGAGCAGCGGGATGATAGCCGGAAAGCAGGCACAAGCACTTACCTTGCAAGCTCTTGCTATTCCTCCTGGCGGTTTTGTTTGCCCTCAAGCTGTAAACGGGTTTATAGTTTCAAAACTGACGCAATAAAAGCCTATAAACGGGTTGCGGGTTTCGAACCCTAAACCCTATACAAGCTAAGACCTTAAACCCTAAACCCTAAGCCTTAAACCCAAACCCTTTGAGCTCTTCACCCTAGACCGTAAACCCTACTTGGAGGATCATGGGACTTACTAAGTAGGGTTATAAGTACTTTAATGGGGGTTACAAGTAATTAGAACTGTAGTTACCTGGCTTATAACCCCACTTACTAAGTCCCATGATCCTTCAAGTAGACCCTAAACCCTAAACCCCTATAGTACCCCTATAGATTCCCTTAAAGGGACCCCAATTACTAGGCCCGAAAAGCTAAAACAACGCAGCTTCCCAACTCCCAGGCAAAGGCGCTCTTCCGCCGGGCAGCCATCAATGCTGTGCTGGCCAAGGACGCCGCGAACTCTGAGGCTGGGGAGTAGGGTTTTTAGGGTTTTTAGGGTTTAGGGTTTTTAGGGTTTTTAGGGTTTTGAGGGTTTTGGCTTTAGGGTTTTGAGGGTTTAGGGTTTAGGGTTCAGGGCGAGATCAGGGATACTCTAGAAAGGAATGCTGCCAGCCGTTGATTGAACAGTTTCATACCCTGAGCCAGCAACCTCAAGGCCTGAACCTGAAGCTCAAGGCATCCAGTAGCCTAAACCCTAAACCCCTAAACACCCTAAACCCATGCCTTCGAATCCGGGAGTCCAGCGCAAAACTCCAGAGCCTGAACCCCTGTCCGAAGCTTCGAAATCCCGAAAGCCAGCCGGACGTGGCTTTCAGGAGGGTGGGATTCTAGGAAGGTCTTTTTTTATTGCGACAGGATCAACCGGATCCCTGAAGTGTTGTCACCCCAGGCAAAATTCCCAGCCCTCATGGTTGAAGCTTTATCTTTCATCATTTCCAGATCAAAGGCGGCATAAGGCTACTCCCGTACCCCCCACGAAGACGCTCGCAGTCTTCGGGCGTAAGCTCAGAGCCTCTGGTAGCCACGATGGATTTCACGCGATGTTCCTTCAACCATAAACCCTGAGCCAGGCCCTAATCCCTAACCGTTAAGAGCGACCGAAGGCGCAGGCGCTCTGCGCCGAGAGCAAGGCGGACCTCATGAAGGTTATCGAGGCAACCAGTGTGTGTTTACGGCTGTCTTGTCGTGGTGATGCAAGAAGGAAGAACTCTGGGACTCTAGAGTGTTCTAGAAGTGGGCTTTCGCTTTTGGTAAACAGAGTGGTGGCAGAAGAAAGTAGAAACATGCTGAGACTCAGGAAAATGTCAAAGAAACGTGGATTCGAAAGCGAGTTATCCTCGGATCTTGGTTGTGGTAATAGTTAATCATAATATCCACTTGCCCCGATTATGCTCACCTGCAGTCTTAGTAAAACATATACCCCAAACCCATATTCCAATTATTCCTCCCGACTGCTCATACCAGCGGTAGCTTGGGTCTTGAGAGGAATTGAAGCTTTTGGGACGGACACCTTTGAAAAAGCCTTCTGATTCGCGAAATGTTCTCAGAAGGAGGAGGACACCTGAAGGGAGCAGGATGCGGAACACAAACCCGCGTCAGATTGAAGGAAGCGCTATACTTTGTCATATTTGGGTACAATCCTTACGGGTACTTAGAGCCCAGCGAGGAATATACATCCACACCACGAACTAGTCTTGTTTGCTTGAGGGAGTTGAAGCAGCCACATGCAGAAGTAGGAGTTTGGAGATTGTTGGCTTTTCAGGGTCTAAGTGGGTCAAAGCAGGCAGGAGCCTTGACACAGGAGCCTACGTACTTACTGTAGCTCATTTGTGATGCATTGCAGTAACGGAGCGGACTCATTGCATCTTGCCCCCTCGCTAAACTAAGCCTGCCCCGAAAGACCTGGAGCCACCTCATTTTCGGCTGTTCTTGGCCTCTTTCTTGCTAGTGCTCCTGAAACTGTTTCATTGTTTGTGTCCTGAACATGGCTGTATTAGTGATGCCTTCCGTCATTGTCGCTGCTGATTGGGTTGCGGCTGGAAGTGCAAAACTATTTCTTTGGCATAGCGAGGCTTCGCTTCGCTCGCAGAAGGCAACAACCCGAAAGTCCAAATCCCATTTCTGGAACTTTCCGTTGGGGGGTACACCGAACACCCAGACCCCACACACTTGACCCCTAGAAACGCCGAACAACCGAAACCCAAACCCCAGACCCTGAACACTTGGCCCTGTCTTCCTAAACCCTGAACCCGTAGCGCTAAAACCCTATAAACCCTAAACCCCTAAGCCCTAAACCCCTAAGCCCCTAAACCCCTGAACCCTCAAGCCTCTAAACCCCTTAAACCCTTAAACCCCTAAACCCCCAAGCCCCTAGACCCCTGAGCCCCTAAACCCCTAAACCCTTAAAACCCCCAAGCCCCTACACCCCTGACCCCCAAAACCCCCAAGCCCCTAAACCCCTAAAACCCTAAACCCCTAAACCCCCAAGCCCCTAGACCCCTGAGCCCCTAAACTTCCCAAGCCCCCAAGCCCCTAAACCCCTAAACCCCTCCTAAACCCCTAAACCCCTAAACCCCCAAACCCCTAAACCCCTAAACCCCCAAGCCCCTAGACCCCTGAGCCCCTAAACTTCCCAAGCCCCTAAGCCCCTAAACCCCTAAACCCCTAAACCCCCAAGCCCCTAGACCCAAGCCCCTAAACCCCTAAACCCCTAAACCCCTAAACCCCTAAACCCCTAGACCCCTGAGCCCCTAAACCCCTAAGCCCCTAAACCCCCAACTTTGAGCCCCTAAGCCCCTAAGCCCCTAAACCCCTAAACCCCTAAACCCCTAAACCCCTAAACCCCTAAACCCCTAAACCCCTAAACCCCTAAACCCCTAAACCCCTAAACCCCCAAGCCCCTGGACCCCTGAGCCCCTAAACCCCTGAGCCCCTAAACCCTGAACCCGAAAAGCCTAAGCCCTGAGCATGCAGCCCTGGGCCTCTGCAAGGCCGACCCTCAGAATAAAGAGGCGCGAGCGGAGCTGAAAGCCGTCCAGGCCATGGCTGTGAGGATGTACCTTCAATGGGGAGTTTCCGAAAATTAGGGGTACCTTATTTTGGGATCCCAATAATAATGATCCTACCATTTAGGGTACTATATTACGAAACTTGGGACTTTCCGAAACTAGGGGACCCTAATCTAGTACCCTAAATAGTAGGATTCTTACTCTAAGGACCCCCAAACAAGATACCCTCAATTTTCGGAAACTCCCATATACCTTCAATGAACTCGATCCATACGGTTGATGATATAAATCCTGCATGACCTTAAGGACCCTAAACTATGGGAATTATGGTATACTCCTTATTATGGGTAATGCAGGATCTATACCATCAACAGTAGTATGTGTTGAAGTATATTCCGACATCGAGGTGTGTGGGAGTCTCCTGGTGCGTCCTCGGTCCAAGGAAGACGCGGGTTATGTAGGGGCCTGAATCATGTCGTAATTTAGCGCTACTTCAAATCCAGTTACCTACAGAATCGCGACAACAAATACACAGACTCTCTCTGTGCCGGCTTCCTTGCATCGTTCGTCAAAAGGAATCCTCGAGCTCAGGTTTAGCGGCGTGGGCTCGCGGTTTGGGGTCGGTGATCAGAATAGGGTTTTGGGGTTGTGTTTCGTAAAAGCCTAACAGGGACTACAAGGGAATACCGTCTCTGGCTTTAGGTTGTAGCCTCGGGCCTAGCTAACTTAGGGGACTTCTCTTGCAAGTAGGCCGAGGCAAAGAAGGTTTTGGGGTTAAGGGTTCAGGATTTAGGTTTTAGGATTTGGGGTTTGGGGTTTTGGATTCAGGGTTTAGGATTTTGGACTTAGGCTTTAGGATTTGGGGTTCAGGGGAGAGGCACACGGCCACGGTAAAGTGAGGCACTGGGGCAAGGCTTGCGGAGGTCGCACTCACGAGCGGCTTCCCCATCTTTGCCTCCCATAATGAGTGCCACCGCAACATCTGACTTCCCAAAGCCTCCCGCAGTAGTCCGCGAACGAGAACGTAGCGATAGCACGTGCTTGTACCATTCAAGACAGCTGGTCACAACATCGTAGTATAACCTTGAAAGTCGCGAATCCTACTCGCATCATGTCCATTTCTCGCATCCTCGCGGTCGTGGTGGCAGCAGCAGTAGTAGTAGCAGGAGGAGGAGGCCCCGAAGGCGGAGCATCTCATGTTGCGCTTTTTTATGCGTCGGACACTACCATTGCTCAGGAAATTGCACAGCATGGCACTCCCTCCACGAACCCGAGACCTCAGCTCACACCCAAAACCGCAACTCCACCCGTGGAAGTTGATGAGATAACCTTATGGGGGTTTCCGAAAGTTAGGGGCACCTTATTTTGGGGTCCTTCAAACCAGGATCCTACTATTTAGGGTACTAAATTAGGGTCCCAGAATTTTGGAAACTCCCCTATGACCAGGAGCATCTGAAGCAGTTGAGGAGGGAAGAGCGGGAAGGCTGCCGGGTCTCGAGTTTTGCGTCATCCTGGGTTGCGGTTTATGGTTTATGGGTTGGAGAAGTGTCATTGGTTCTGTTTTGAGAGGATATTGGGGGATGATGGGAATGACAGTTTTGAAGCAGGACGTTCCCATTTCCTGGTACAGAAGTGGATGGGTTGCTTGTCTGGGCGTTTTTTTACGTTATTTTCCCGATATGTCGGAAGTCGCGAGCACCTCAGCAATCAGAGTTTCCTTATCGCTACCGGCTTCGGAGGGGTTTCCGGGAGTGAGAAACAACGAGACATGTTGGGCCAGTCGAATCAAGCCTGCAACAGTCTCAACTGTCGAGCTTCAGGGCAACAGTCTCTGTCTTTCTTTGGAGTTATGATTTGCTCGTTTTCAGCTGAGAAGGCAGCCTGGGATTTTCGTGGCGATCGCGAGGGCGAGGATTCGGCTGATGATGTGTCGCCGGTGATGATGATGCGGGTGCTTTTGCTGGTGCTGGTGATTGTGCCGGTGCTGGTGGTGGCACCTGAAGTGTCGATGTCCCCGCAATCGGGAGGCTACTGAGTATACCGCAGATGAGAAGCCTCCCGCCAAGCCTTAATCCTAAACCCAAGCTTCAAGCCACCCTCGACCGCACTGCGCGCACCAGATGAGAAGAAAGAGTTCTCCTTTGCTTCCACCCTCTCCGGCCTCGGCTTCAAGGAGATTGGATCTAGATGGCTAGTGGGGTTTAGGATTCAGGGTTTAAGGGTTCCAGATGTAGGTTGAGTAGGGTTTTGTGGTTCGGGGTTTGGGGTTAAGATTGAATCTTAAAATCTATCCCATAAGGGGCTTGCGGTGTTTTTACTCAAAGTTGTACGGCTGTTCATGCTTCTTTTGACTGGAGATCGATCAGCCTAGCTAACGGGAGCTCGTAGCCGCTGCTTCTTTCGGAATTCTTTGCCGTTACTGCTGGTCCTCTCTCTCGTGGTAAGCTGCAGTACCCAGAATCCCTGGCTGCAGCCCTGAATCTCCATGGCACGGGTTCCTGCAACCCGAAAGCCCCGAAAAGCCAGCGAAGAGCGAACCGAAACCAGGAGAAGGATTTGCTGGGAGATGGATCCGTCCGGAAGCAGCAGGTCTCTGCGGGGGATGGTGGCAAGTGGCTGAACGAGGCGGCACGTTTCAGAACTCGCGCAGGGACCTGGGAATGGGTGGTTCGAGTTGTGCGGCGGTGGATCTGTAAACTTAGGGATCGCAATTGTTTTGTTGTCTTGTCTCAGACTGTGCGGTTAAGGCAGGTCTTCAGGGTATCAGGTTTTGACATGAGAAAAACCTCAGAAACCCACATGAGGGCTCTGAAACCCCGAGCTGTGGTTTTGGTTACTTTGGTTTACGGGTAGACGCAGCTTGAGGACTGCAACGAGCCTCCGACAAGAAATCCAATGCTCTGACCTGAAGCACTAAGCAACTTAAGCCCCTTGGCCTCTGAAGCCCAGTCCCAAACTGCCCATATCCCGGATGCAAGGGATTTTCTTGTTTGTAGGTACTTGCGAGTAAGGTTTTGAGTACGTCTGAGTAGTCGTCACACCGATGAATGCCAATCAATGCAACGGGGTCACGTATGGCCACTCATCAACCGTGGAACCTGTAAATAAAGAGATACTCACACATGTTGTTATGTACATGCTTGTAAGCTTGTATGCATATGTACACGAACAAGTATCTATGTGTGTGTATGAATGTACGTATGTATGTCTGTATGTACGTATGTATGTACATACGTACACACATACGTACATACATACATAAGTAGATACATACATCATACATACATACATACATACACACACACACACACACATAGGTAGATTGACAAATCGATAGATACATAGATAGAGCACGGCTAGAACCAAAGTCGAGCATCTGTACCAGCCAGAAGCCTCCAAGCAGGACTGGCTGAATTGGAAAGCAGGCACGAAGTGCTCCGGGCTTATCTGTGGACTGAGATTGCATTGTCGGCTTGCATACGAGCAAGCAGGAGTAGCAGTTGTCGTCGTAGTAACAGTAGCAAAGTAGTTGTCGTCGTAGTCTTAGTCGTTGCCGTAGTCGTAGTCGTCGTCGCAGTAGTAGTAGTAGTAGTAGTAGTAGTAGTAGTAGTAGTAGTAGTAGTAGTAGTAGTAGTAGTAGTAGTAGTAGTAGTACTAGTAGTAGTAGTAGTAGTACACTGAGAACGGGTGTCCCGCCCAAACCTTCCCCAACGAGGACCCTGCAGACAACAAGCAAGCACCTGACAAAATCCTGCCAAACTCCAGAGCAGGCAAGCATTCCCCGAGCTTCCACCAAAATCACGATTGCTGCCACCATCGTATATTTTTGACCTGCATACATGGCTTGCTCCGCCTTGAGCGATCTTGAGCGCACTTGTATGTGCTGCAACGAGACAGCTCCTGCGCAGACCTAATGTAGTATAGTATTAGTAGCGTAAATACTTACAAGTAACGCTTCTTTTGGGGGCCTTATTTTAAATTTCGTATAATGGGCCCCAAAACCCTATTCTAATTTTTAAGACCCCTACAGCACTCGTGCTTCTTCGACGACGGCCGGACTGAGGTGTGGTACACTTGGCCGTGCACATCGCAGGTGTGGGGCCTCGGATGCTTTTAAACAGATACAAATATAAGCAACAAATAGTTGTTTTTCTAAATCCGACAGTGGGCTTTTGCATCTCATATTTTGTTACATTACGGCCCATCATGGAGAGCTTGCGTTCCTTTACTTGGTCGTCTGTTGTGCTTGTGTCCCCTGGAGCACCCTATTACAGTAGTCCTCAACGGCTTCAATCGTCCACTTCAGCACAAACTTTTTTGCTGGACCCGCGCAAAACGCGCAAAGACTGCGCTATGCGTCTACCTTATGATATACTGTAGCACAATACCCTATGATATCGTATCACAATGTAAAACTTAGTACATTTTGGTTACTGTGCATAATGTATTATGATCTCTCTACATATATAGATATTACAGACTATAGCATGGGGTACTGCATTATAGCACCATGAAAAGTCCACGATATAAGATACTAAAACATGCGATGATGTGGTAGTGCCACGGTCCGAACATCATGCTCCAACCCCGGCAGCACAAGCCAACATAAACACAACCGACACGGACCAAGAGTCTTAGGGCCAACTTTCTCACCAATGGCGACCCGAAACAAGCGGACCGCTTGCATGTCTTCGTCTTTCCTCGATAAATTTTACCAAGTCGGCGGGTTTCAGCCTGCGAGACCGTCGGAGCGCTACCTGCCCTACAGACTATGGAGCCTGCACCCCGACAATCTTCGCACCCTGCGTGCGCCCGTGACCTTTTATCCTGAGTCCGAGCCTCCCGCAAAACAATGGACCCGCAGTACCTAGAATAGAGTCTTAGGGTACATCATCCTATACCGTATATTTATGCTAAGCTACTAAGGCTTCCTATAAGGAGTCGTAAGGAATTTACATAGCTAGTTGTTTAGGCATCTATAGCGAGTGCACGGAGTAAGAGGCCAAACCAGACCTACGGCATCTGCCATACAAATAATACCCGAAAAGCTTCCTTTTATGCACTGTGTACTACTTGTTAATCATCCGAATAGTCCTTCTACAGTTTCCAACCTTTTGGGGCTCCCAAATTCATGATACAGGGTTGCGGGTGTAAGTTTAAGGTTTAAACGTTTACGGTACAAGCCCCAGACCCCAAATGCTAAATTGGTCCCCAACCCTAAGCAGCTAATCACCGCCAAGGCAGCTTCATCAAAGGCCAAGCCGCATTTTACAGGGTGGTGAAGTAAGCTAATGACGGCTGATATGTTTCGGGATTCGGGGCTTGTTTGGATTTGTTAGGTTTACGGCTTAAGTTCTGAAGCCATTGAGGTTGGGGCATAAACGAGTCTTAGGCAGTCTCGGCGAGTCTGGAACCCTGCATGTATCGCTGTAGGGCTCGGGGTTTCGGCGCCCTCCTGAATCAGCGTCCATTGTGGTCTTGGCACGGGGTCGAACCGCCTTCGTTATGATTCGGGCAAGTCACGCGACCTCCGCATGTCATCACCGGGTTGTCTTCCTGCCTTCATGCCACCGGGCCATCTCGGGGTGTTTGCCTAAAGCCTTCATGCGTCCTGGCTGGTGCTAATAGGAGGGGTGTAGGGCAACATGGACCAGATCCCTACGAATTGTGTGAGAGAGGCACATGCATAGCCCGATCACTTTCTGTTGCTCTACACTACACGGTTACATGATGATGAAGATGATGACGACCACGGTGATGGACACAATGATGGGCATCATCGTCGCCACGATGAAGATGAAGAAGATGATGACGGTGCTGGTGATGCTGCTGCTGATGATGACGGGTATGGTGGTGCGCTTGAATATGAGGATGGTGTCGACGACAGCGAAGATGAGTTTGAGGACGGAAGGAGATGTTGTGGTGGTGGTTGCTGTTGCTGAACGATGTGACGAATCAGCAGCAGGAGGATGGCTGGAAGTGGTTTCACAAAGCCATGATCCCTTCATTCCCGTGCAAGCCATCCGCGAGGTCGGTCCGAGCCGACTCCAGCGACTTGGGTCCGTTTCAGGGTCTTTAGAACCAGGGTCCTACTATGCAGGGGCTTTCGAAGAGTGTCTCATTTTCTGAAGCGTCCAGCGAGTTGCGTGAAGACATGTGTGTCCAAAGTGTCGAAGCCCAACTCCGCGGCAGTGGCCATGCAGATGCCAGTAGCATTTGTTGTTGGCGTAGAACCATCATGTTCTTCAAAGCCAATGCATTCCCAGTGAGCCACTCCTCAAGCTATCCCCGAATTCCGAGCCCGACGACCCACATTCAAGCCCCTAAGCCGACATGCTAAATGTCGTTCCCGAAGCCCTGTTGTGCCCATACGAAGACGAGGCTTACGTTTCCTTCATCCTGGGAGATCCCGACATGCATGAGGGTCCCGGGCTCGGAAGGGCTCTTCTGCAAAGAGGACGTCTCCGACACAGACGACAGCGACACTTGACACTAGCATTTCTTCCTCGCCCCACAGTCCTTTCGGAAGAGCGTGTCGTCAACTGCAGACCTTGTCAATTGCCGTGCAGGCGAAACTTCTTCGTTTGAGCAGGGTTGGAAAAAGATTTGGCTCTTTACAGCTGGCAGCCAACCTCTGCGCTGCAAAGCTCCGACCCTGAACCCTGACCTCGTAGGTGAAAGCGAAGGGCCCTTACCACAGCAACCAAACGTAAGGAAAACGGAAGGCCCTGCCCCAAATGCTTCCACTTTCGGGCTCGCCAAGTTTCAACAAGTTTATCGGACGGTTCATCGACACCCGGGCTTTAGACGCCATGCACGAAGAGTGCCTGAATCGCTCTGAGCGGTCTCGCACTTCCATGTTGCATACAGACCCACATCAAGACGAGTTGCACAGTCGTCCCTGTTGCGAAGTAGGGTCGACGGTTCAGGGTATTTTGCACCCCAAGCCCCTTGTTCTGATTGTTCGGAGCCATGCATCTCTCAGCTTGCTGAAGGTGTGAATGTCGCGGTGAAATCCATGACGAAGGGGGAGGCCCTAGGGTTTGGGGCATACGAGACCCGAAAGCTTCCCAACAAGTTCTCCTATGCCTGGTATGATGCAAGAGGTAACTCGTGCGAAGCACCGAACCTGAACCTGAGCTCCCCGGCTTTTGACTCGCAAGACTCCTGATCCTGCCAGGCTGGCGGTGGTAGGTTCGAAACCTGATTAAGAAACCCTGGGGTTAAACCCCAAACTAGTAGGATTCATATAAGGAACCCTAACAATAAAGGCCCAAGGTTACAGGTTACTACATTACTGTCCTCGTTTCTCCGAATCCTCTGCCTGCTATACACATGGACTCGTGCTGGCAAACGCCCGACGCCCAGCTCCTTCAGCCCAAGGCCCTGAAGCCAAGAGTTTTTGGAGCTCCTGACACTCCCCAAAACCCACCGAAAATTCTGGAATCCTACACGCGCCAAAGGCCCCAACAGAGCCCCTGAAGCCCTACTTACACCCCGAAGATGAAGACCCTAAAATGCCCTGAGCCGCTGTGTAGGCAGCTGACTTATGAACATCTCTTTGTCAAGGGCTCTAATACTCTATAGGGTTTAGGGTTTAAGCCTTAGGGGAGATATTTCCGTATTCAGGGGGAGAAGTTTGTTGATCAGGGATCTGCATAAAAGCTTTCGAAGTCTGGAAGGTTGCCAACTTCACCTTTACCAGCCAGCGGCTTTCTGCCAGCAGCAGCCTCACGAAGCTTTTGCCCAAGGTTCAGGCCGGCTGCTTTGCGGGGATTGTGGTTTAGGGTTTGGGGTTTAGGCTCCCTATATGGAGGGTTTCAAATTTTCGAATTTGGGTTTTGACGGTCTGGGCTTCAGCTTTTGTGGGTTGAGGTTGCAGAGGTTTGTTGTTTGGAGTTTCCGAAACTGAACTACGACAATTGTCTGGATGCGCCATTTTGACTGATCTGGCCTCTGTTGCCGTTGGTATTTGCCCGCAAATCCCCGGATGTGCAGCTTGGACAGCCACGAATTCCAAAGCAATCCGAGCCTGTCTCGTAGATGTGTCTCTGGACTCTGCGCAACAGCTTGTCGCAGAAAAAGCAGGGCCCGCTAGCAGGATCTTTTTCAGAGGCTTTGGGATTCCGAGCCCTGAAACTCTGCAAAAACCCTAGACCCTAAAGCCTGAACCCTAAACCCTGAACCCTAAACCCTAAACCCTGAAGACGCCAGGGGGATTCTTGCAGCTGGCGGATCGAGTTTCAGAAGTTTGTAACCTGGGAAGATCTCGATCGAAATGGAGAGAGGCAGGGCTGGGTTGAAGTCCGCTTGGCCATTTTGGGGTTGGGTCTGGTGACATTTGGGCAAGAAAGAAAAGCGAGCAACTACTACCGCAACCTACAAGCAGTTCCTCTGCCGAAGTCTACTTTAAAATGCTCCAAACTCCATTCGTACTGTCAGGGCCGTCAAGACCCCCCAAAGTATGAAGCTGCTTGGTTAGGTCTTTGGGGTCTGGTTTGTCCTCTGGGTTGGTGCGGGCTTTCGGGGTCCTGAATAATTGGAATTGGGTTTGGGGGTATGCAATATTATTGCTGTAGTTACATTGTGGACTATACGGCATTCTTGTTGCTAACTCAGCATTGCCGACCACTCTATCAGGGAAGGCTCATTTCTTGTTCAGTTTAGTCGCCTTCTTGCTGTCCGTCTAGGAGGGCCAACTGCTAGCAGCAGTTATTCCATTGGGTGCCCCTGCGCTGTGCTTTCACTGGGAAGGAGCAAAACTAGACGCGACAATCAGTGGATAGGTCGGTGCCAAGTCTGAACCCTGTTCGCTGAAGCATAAATTTTAAATCCTAACCCCTAGGAGCTAAACTCGGAACCCTAATCTAAACCCAAGCCCAACATTATAAACCCTAAGCCCTAAATCATAAACCCTAATCTTGGCGTATTTCTGGTTGGCTCTTTAAACTTTAACTTTTTGGGTTTCTATATGAACTATAATAAGGAGTCGAAAAGTTTAACTTTTAGGAGGGGTTCCGAAGTCAGCCAAGTAATCCGAGAGGTTGCAGAAGATCCAGGAAGAAGGGTACGGGGCCGATGTCGCCGAAGACCTGTCAGAGGCGACGGATTCTGCTTGCGAGCATTGGGGCCTTACTCAAATTCTGGGTTCCTTTAAAGGGATCTATAAGGGTACTCTTCAAGGGCTTCCTTAAGGGTTCTAGAGGGTTTTAGGGTTTAGGGTTTAGGTTGATGAAGCGAATAGCTGTTCCGTCGTCAATGCCTCTGAGACCGAACAGCGGCCTTCGGAATAAGGATTGTCCGCTTGATGTGTGTGTATGTATGTATGTATATATATATATATATACACATGTGTATATATATATATATATATATATTTATTTATATATATACACACATATTCACATGTATATCCTATGTGCACATGTTCTCTCGCTGTTGATAGATGGCGGCTTTAATGCTCTCAGCTGCACTTCTTGCGATGGGAGCTATCCCGCAGGTTTTCGTGCACTGGAGGGTCCTGGGCCCCGACAACCAGCTCATCCATTCCTCGAGGCACCAGGGAACTCCTGGGTTTAGGGTTTAGGGTTTAGGGTTTAGGGGTTTAGGGTTTAGGGGTTTAGGGTTTAGGGTTTTTGAAACAGCGCTCGCCATGCAGAGGTCGAGGATGAGGTCGGAGGCTACAGCTTCTCTGGGCTTTGGAGTACCACACTTGAATACTTTTTTCTTAAAGGAACCGTTCTGAAATAAAAGTGTAGACTTTTTCCTCCCGGCTCTTTGAAGCTCAAAGTCTAGAATGCCGGGCTCGGGTGTTGGAGATACCTCCTGCTGTGCAGGTACTTAAAAGGGAAGCCTATTGCTATAAGAGACTTATAGTACCCTGAAAAGGATGGGACCGGCAGGTACACCGTGAAGATGGCAGGTGGGCAGGACATGAAGCAAGTCGAGGACGAGGCCGAGCCGGATTCGCGAGTTTCCCTTAAGCAGCAGTTTGAAACATAGGGGCCTTAATAATTACCTATACTACTCTGGGGGCTCCTTATTGTAATTATAGCATAACAGGCCCCACGACCCTGTTCTAATCGTATTGCAGTGCCGGCCTGGCTTCACCTCCAAGGTAGATACTAGAAAGAATAGATTTGGGAGGACAAAGTGGCCCCCTCCTACATCATGGGCGAGACAGCGCGGGCGCTTAATGTGTGTCTGGCACGAAGTCTAGGCAACGGATCTTTGAGGCGTGAGCCTTGATCAAGCCTAGAGGGAGGGATGCGGAAATGGAGAGCTCGGATAGTGCCATTGAAGCAGGCGTAGCAGCAGCCGTATCAGTAACTGTAGCAGTCGCAGCCGGAGTCGTAGTCGCATTCGCAGTGGCACCGGCAGTTGCAGAAGCACTAGCAGCAACGGTAGTGGTAATGACGTAGTGGTAGCACTGGCAGTAGTAGCAGGAGTAGCAGCAGTAGCAATAGTAGCAGCAGGTGCAGGTGCAGGAGTAGTAGTAGTAATAATAATAGTAGTAGTAGTGGTAGTAGTAGCAGTAGCGGGAGTAGTCGTAGTAGTAGTAGTAGCAGCAGTAGTAGTAGTAGTAGTAGTCGCCGTCGTCGTCGTAGTTGTAGTAGACGACTGGTACTGGCACTGGCATTGGCACTTGTGCTTGTGCCCTGAGCCCTCTGCCTCAACAGCTAAGCTCTTGACCCCTAAACTCTAAAGTCCAAAAACTACGGCTCAAGCATCTCGGCTGACAGGTGAGGGTCTTTCTTTGCCCTTGGGACTTTCCTTTGCGCCTATTCGGGGCCAGTTCTCTGCCCTCTTCTACCTGATTCTGCGAATCTTGCACGTGACGGGGCGGCCAGTTGCTTCTTCGCCCTTCTTGTGATCCTGGAGTACATCATCAATAAGTGGCGGCCAGTTGCTCTTGCTCTTCTGGGTGATTCTGTGGGGTGACTACGGCAAGTGGCGGCCAGTCGCTCTTCACCTACTAAACGATCCTACGGGGAGACTTCGAGCGAGAGTTGGGCAAGGGTTGACGCTTCTCAGGGGAGGGGGTGATCTTACCTCTGGGTGAGTTCAATGACTTCTCATGGCGGAATGGAGGAGGAGATGCAGGTGGACCCACATTCGCCGACTGAGCTTGCTGAAGGTCCCGACGTCTCCGACGTTGAGTTTGTTGGTGATGCCAAGCGGAAACGCGATCCCGCTGCCAGCCCCTCTGCCAGCCTTCGCGCCGCTGCTGCTCGTGCGGCTCTTCGTAATCTTCCTGGGGACGGTGACACGGACGATGACGAGAGTGACAGTCAAGAGAGTCCGACAAAGCGGCCCCATGCAGCTAGTTCGTCCACTGATGCACCTGTCTCTGGTCGTGAGCTTCGCAGTCTCCTCAAGGGCCATGTCAGGAGCATGAAAGAGGCTTGGTCTGAGTTTGAAGGGCGACTTTCCAAGGTTGAGTCACAGCAGAGACGTCACAAGGGTGATGTTGAGTCGCTGAAGGGACGCACGAAGGTTGTTGAACGGGACCTTGTCACCAATAAGAAGGACCAAGAGTTGTGCAACCGGAAGGTGGGTGAACTTGCTGAGGAAGTGAAAAATCTCAAGGTACAATGGGAGGACTTGAAGATGAAAGGCCCTTTCCTCCCGGACCCTGATCCACAAGCGCCTTTGCATCCACCCGTGCCGTTTGACCCCTGGGGTGACTATATCCGCAAGCAACAAGACTGGCCTGCCCCCTTTGGACCTCCACAACGATCTAAGCCGTCTGGTGCAAAGGGTGAAGCTGCTCGTCCTGGCAACCCTCGTGATCCTCGTCCCCTTCCTGCAGAGTCACTTTCTGAGGATGAAAAACGTACACTCGTTATTGGAGGGTGGCTTGCCGACACCAGAAGAGCACTGATCGAAGAAGAAAGTGACGCTCTCCTTCAGCATCCCACGATTCGCCCCCTTTTGGACAATGCAAAGCTGTCGGTATTTGGGCCCCGCAGAAGCGTAGGCATGCTCCGTTTTGCCCAACGTGAGGATGAACCACATTTTGAGGCGGTGAAGGAGAGGATGTGGAAGGTCATCAAGGCAGTGTCGGAACTCAAGCACCAGCTGGACAGCACGAGATCTGGGGGCGACGTTAAAATTGCTTGGGCAGGCTTTGTCAAGACTCGCGCGGCTCGCCAGCGCACGTCGCACATCAGCATGGTTCGACGAGTCACCATCATGCTAGTCGAGGACACTAAGGATGAGGCGGGTGGCATCAAGAACATCATGAATCAGCTGACCACGGCCTACGACATGGACTGGGCGGCGGGCACCATTTGGTGTGGGGCATATAAGCTCGCTTCGTCCACTCACCGGGCTCCACGGACATCAGAGACCGTGCTTATGACGGGAGGCTGGGTTGATCTTGACGGGGTTGCAGCCACTGCAGGATGTACGGTTGACGCTGCCAAGGCAGCTTTCGAACGTGAGCTTTGAAGCAAGAGGTGCAGTTTCACTCCTTCGACCGATGGGGATGAACTTCCTAAGGAATGTCCACTCTCGTTGGTCGCTGATGAGCCCTGCCTGAATGAAAGTCACAGATGGGGGAAGTTTGCATGCTGGAATTTAGGAGGTCAAGCCCTTGACACCCTTGACCTTGCTCTTCGTGATGCTGAGATTGCTGCTGTACAAGAAGTTTCGCGTGAAAGCTTTGCTGATGGATGGGATACCTATGACACGGACCTCTTCCACTGGGTCACACATCGTCATGAAGGCCAATGGCGTGGGACAGCAATTGGGATAGCCCAAGATAGACTTGATGCAGTGATTGACAGACGTGCATCCTCGCGTGGCCTGTGGGTACTGGCACGGATACGTGGTCTTGGACGAGTTGTCATTGGTTCCTTGCATTGTCACACTGGGGTGACTTCTAAGACCTACGCTTCCTCCGTGTGCTCCTTCCTCGCTGCACTACCTGGCAAGTGGCGACAATATCCTGCTCTTCTAGGTTCAGACGCGAATGAGTGCCCACCGTGGATGCATACAGAGGGCGAAGTTCACATTGCGATGTCTGGTACCAACCTCAACAACTTGGTTGACGCTGTGACGAAGCCTGGATTTCGAGCCTGTGCGCCTCACGAGAACCAATGGCACACTCCCACTCATTATCCTCGTGACACCGAACGACAAGGGAGACAGATTGACATTGTCTGGAGCCGCCAACTTGCTACGTCGAATGTTCTCATCGAGCCAGATCGCCGACACACCATTGGATCTGATCATGCGCCTCTCACCATTGAAATCTTCACTCGTCAGAAACTTGCGCCTGCCCGGTGGAACAACGACTCTCGAGCTCGATGGGTTGTTCAGTCTCTGCCGAAATGCGACTTGGTTGATGCTGATGATGTGGAGGCGCTGGCCCGACAATATAGTCGACCACGGAAAAGTCTTGCATATCATGATCCTGATGAAGTACAGAACCTTGTTCGTGAAGCCAAGAGCGATGGCAGTTCGCGAGCGTGGAAAAAAGTACATCGGGCACGTCGTGCAGCACGTCGACAATGGCAGCAAGAACGGCTTGAACGAGTTGTCAGGGGCGACTGGGATGCTTATCGATGTCTACAAAATGAGAAGAAGCGTGCTAAAGGATGGTGGGGGAGAATGCTTGATGATCGCAGCTCGTTGCAATTGACTAAGGAGGTCACTGAACACTTCGTCTCGAAAATGGGAGGTGATGACCAACAAGAATGGTCTACGCGCCTTGAGACCCTCTTATCCTCCTTGTCCGTTACCACTGACTTCGTGCCCTTCACACAGTTGGATGTTCGTGAGCAACTTGTTGGGATGAAGGCTAAGAGTGCTGTTGGTCCTGATGCCATTGGGGTGAGCCTCTTAAGGGAGATCATGAATCATGATGACCTTGCTCCGCAACTTGTCGACATTATCAATCAGATTGTTTCGGAACTACAGCCCCCGGAGAAATGGTCGGTCAGCTACCTGGCTCTCTTGGCCAAGTGCCACACGCCATTGCAACCGGGTGACTTGCGCCCGATTTGTGTCAGTAGTGCATTTAACAAGCTCGTCAATCGACTTGTGTGTCACCGTGCTCTTCCCCTTATGAGACGTGGCTCCCGTATCTCCTCGTGTGGGAAAGGGCGGCAATGTGCAGACCTCATCGGTGCAGCAGGGAGAGTTCGGGATGTAGTTCGGGAATGGCGAGTACCTGCCCTTCTGTGCAAGCTTGATGTGGCAGGCGCATTTGACAGGATCAATCGCAGCAAAGTTGCAGATGTCTTACTTCAACGACTTCAGAATCAATCGTGTGATCATGAACTCAAATATCTTCTTGCTCAACTTCGACCGCACCATCTCGTTGGTGATGTTCCGGGAGGAGGAAGGGTTGAGTTTGATACCTTTGTCGGGATTAAACAGGGGGCACCTGAAAGCGCGGAAGTTTTTGGACTTGTGATGGATGATGTGTTGAGCCGGCTCACCTTGGATCCGCGATGGCGGAGGTATGGGGAGGCACTCCCCGGGTTGGATTTGGACTTGATGTTCTACCAGGATGACGTGTTCATCCTTGAGGACGACTTCTCCTCTCTCATCCGCCGCATTCGCCTGGTGGGTACAGCCCTGCGCGAAATTGGATTGGAGCTAGCTGTGGCAAAAACCAAAATCATCGCCAGTCCCAAGTATAGAGGCCCTCGCAAAGCGAAAGTTGGCGATGACATCTATGCCATCGCACCTTGGAGTGAGTCCGTCAAGATCTTGGGGTTGAACTTCTCCTTCTTCGAACCTCCTTCCCAACAAGCCAGAGAATTACTTGGGCGAGCTCGCGCAGCGGCTGCGCAACATCGTGATATACTGCGGGCAAATGGACCTTGGCAAGGCAAGCTCAAGCTCGTCCGCTCCTTGGTGGAAGGGACCTTCGCTTGGACAGCTGGGGCAGTTCACTGGAGTTCTACTGACTTGAAGGCAGCCAACACCCTGCAACTGCATATCCTCCGTGATGCCTTTGGAATCAAACGTCGCCAGGGTGAAGATTGGGTTCAGTGGAATGCTCGTAGTATGCGGTTCTGTCGCCTTTGGATGTGTACGCATTCGATCACTAGATGGTCTACTAAGGTGCTCACATTGCAACACACACTGCATGGTCATTGGGCCAGAAGGACTGAAGACTGTGGTCATGGAGTCTTCCCGGACCTGTGTCTGGCTATGCGTGCCTTGAAATGGAAAAACATGATGTGGTGGCGAAATGAACAAGAACAGACAAATGGCCTCCGTCACCCACAGCGCTTTCATGCTGGTTGCATCGAACGTCAACTGGCTGAATGTCACGGCACTGATTGGTTTATTGTGGCACTCGATCGAAACTGGTGGAGTCACTGTAGACCTCTCTATCTCGAAACGTGGGATGTGTTGTGGACTAAAAACCGACAGCTAGCTTTGACGGCCTGAAGCAGTACGGTCTTGACAGCAGGAAAATGAAGTCATCTCGCGCGAGGGGGCTGACATCCTGCTGCATATGATCGCCTCTGTCGATGCCTTCACTGGCTTCTTCTTGTTTCTTCTACTCACTCTACAGATGGACATGTTACTTGCATGAGATCTAACACTGGTATGTCATGACGCTTCTGTCAAAGATGGATATGATGTTCGCACAAGACCTGCATGTTCGCCTTCGGCATGTCACTCTGCGCTTTCGTGCTGTAATTGGTTGGTTACTTCTGCAGGCCTCTCCCCGCAGCCGCTCTCCCGTGCCAAGTTGACCCTGCCCCACACTGTTGCGCCCTGGCACACCATGGTCGTCGCCGTCCCTGGGCGCGTTCTTCTGGTGCTCCTCCTCGTCTTCCTCGGTGACCAGCTTTCGGTAACGCCAGGCAGCTCATGGACCTCAACTATGTCTCTGTCACGGAGTACCTGGCGCGCACCGTGGACTATGAGATGGTGGACAGCCTCGGCTTTGGTCTGCACCCTGGGTTTGGAAGCCCACCCTGACATTCTGACCTCTCGTCCCTTCACATGGATGAACTTCGTCATGGCCTCCGAGGCCGTTGCAGACCTGAGTTCAATATCTTCCTGTTTCTCAACATCGCCCTCCACCACCTCCTCGACTTCTACGACCTCGCTGTCTGTGGCCTGGCTGACTACTTGGGGGACATCTTCGACAAGTCAAGCTTCGACAAGTTCCACGGCTTCACCCTCTTCGACAAGTTCTATGGCTTCAGCCTCGTCGACCTCCACGTCTACTTTGACCTCGACTTCGTTGACCTGGTGGACAGACTCGAGGGTGGTGCCGCTGAACTCTACCACGACCACATCGATGTCTCATGGGGATGACTTGCTGGGGAATGCGTCTTTGACCTCGACCTCCTCCACGTGGTGGACAACGTCAGGGGTGACATTGTTGAGCTCTACTACAACCACAATGGTGCCTCCTGGAGATGACTTGCTCTGGGTGACATTATTCGGGCTCTGCACTATCACCACGACCACGACCAGTGAGGCTCCCTTGAACCCGGCGGAGGAATTACCTCTCAGTGCGCTACTCGTTGAGCCTGATAACAGCAGCCTTCTTCTGCAACTTCAGACTGGAATGAACGAGCCGATCCACATCCCGGAAACCCAGTTGGCTGTACCATCCTCCTTAGAACCATATAGAGCCGACTCAGTTCGGCATCTGTTGCTGTCGCTGGTCTCAGAGGCTGCCAGGGAGCTTGCTAGCAAAACTCAGGTTGCTTTTGGGCCTGGACTACGATGGGCGATGTATTTGCACCTCCAGCTGGTCCAGGCAGTCGTGGACTCCCTTGCGGCTTATCGAGAAGGACTACTACGTCAAATTTCGGTACCTGCACATGAACCTCGCACAGTACCTCCTCGGTCGGCTGGCGAACGCAGTGCTCTCTTGCAATGGATGGCTGCCTTCGCCCCTAACATAGAGACAGTGGTCACGGCAGTGATTGCGCAACAACGTGAACTCATGCAACAAGGGTTGACAGCGCATGAAGCTCGGGAAGAACGTGACCGTGGTCTGGAAGAATTGAGAGATCTGGGACGACGTTGGCAAGCACGACCACATGCACCGCCACCGGGACCACCAGCGAACTCTGGAGCCAGGGTTACTCCCCGTCCTTTCCTTAAACGGACCATATCCCAAATGGAGGGGAATGGCTCGTCGGGAGTGTTGCAAGGGATGCCTGTCTCCACTGGCTCAGGGGCGAGTTCTTCTTGGCAGTCTTGCCCTACTTCTTCGCTTGCTACGCCCACGCCGTGCTCTTCAACTACGCCTGGGAGTATGCCCCCGCCTCTGAGACCGCCAAGTCGTACGTCACGACCACCTCCTCGCGCACATCGAGAACCTCGTCAACCTCCTGGACGTGCCTCTGGTTTGCCCACACTGGAAAGTTGGGCAGCTATGATGTGGGGGTGGAGTCCGTCAAATCCTGCTACCCCTGATGGTGTGCCGCGACCTCTCCCTGGGCAAGCTCCTCAATCGCCAGCTCCTCAATCGCCATCACCGTGGGCCACTGCACCAGCTACACCACTTCGTCCCTCGGATGACAACCGTTCTCTACTGACTATTCCAGCTCATCCTGTCTTTCGGCCTGGTGCACCAGAGACACCTCTTGAACCTGCCGGGCCTTCGACTCCATTAATACCCACAGCTCCTATTCCGGTGCCCGGGGCGCCAACAACGCCATTTGATGAACTTGAAGGTGACGGATATGTAAGCGCTTCGTATGTGGATGAGTTGCTGGCGGGTGACTTTGTTGAACAGCCTACATCGACCTCGACCACGATGACTTCACTATGGACGTCTACTACCTCGACTACTTGGAGCTCTCTGTCGTTGACCACTTCAATGCCAAGTTGTTCTTCGTGCTTGTGCTCCTCCTTGTCCTGGACCATGACTTTCAATACGAGTTGGGTCTCCGAGTTATCCTGGGCACTGACCTTGACCACAACAACTACGACGAGCACCTGGACATGTGGCACAACTTCGTCTCCCTCGTCCTCTTTTGCTCATGCTGAAAGCACCGGGGTCGAAGGTGGCATTGGAGCGTGGGAGGAGAACTTCAGCATCCAGGTTTCGCCCAACACCTTGGCCGAATTGATTACGCGGGAAGTCCGGCGACAGCTTGCAACTTGGCCAACCCGAAGTCGTTCTCGCAGCCCCCGACGAGCCACCTCGACATCACCTCCACGGGACTACATTGACCTTGGGGGTGACTATGTATGGGTTATTATTCCTGGAGATGGAGATTTGACACAAGATCCTGGGGCTGAGATGGAAGAGGTCGACGAGCATGCGCAGTCTGAGGACCTTGCTGTTGACTTTGCTGCTGAGCCCTTGCTGCCTGTTGAGCCCTTGGTGCCTGAGGATGAGGATGCGCTTGCCGAGCTCTACAGCCCAGTGTTGAATCTGAGTCCGGAGCCTTGTCAAGACCTTGAACAAGACGATTGTATTGCTGAACCTGAAGTGGCCGAGGCTGAGGAGTACCTGGGTGAGTGGCATGGTGATACTGATGTTGAGGGGGAACCTGTGGCGGTTTTCGTGGAGGTTGAGTCCGATGGTGCACATGAGAGTGTCTTGGACGACTTTTCTGTGTCTTCTGTGGGGGTGTCTGCCCAAAATGATGATGCTCCTCTGAGGAACTTAGATTGTGAGGGTAGAAACTATAGCTCTTGGAGAGAACTTTGAATGTAACCTGAAGGCCAAATGAAGCCTTTTGACATTGCCCATGAGACGGCAGTGGTTTCACCGCATGCTCCGTTGTGGGAGAGACTTGGTGGGATGGGCTAGGTCTAGCATGTGCAAAAAAAAAAAACTAACAGAGCCTCAAATTTGTTGTTTGGAAGAAGGATGTTTAATCGTGGTCTTCTAGACAAAATGTGCAGCCGATACTCGAAGCTCTGAGACCTGGGGCCCTGTGGCGACGATCTGCCGGAGCCTTCGGCAAGGCGGAGCCCGGCACTCAGTGGCCAGGGTTGCCCTCAACTCTAGCCCTAAACCGCAGGCGTTCTCCAGAAATCTGCTGTGTTTATATTTCGGGGTCCATGCAGACTTCAGCCTTTTCTGTTTTAGTGACAGTCTTTGGGTCATTTCAGGCTTCAGATCTTCTCGCGTCCCAAGACCTTAAGCCTCAGAAACCCCAAATCCTGAAACTCTGGGTTCTGAGACCTGAGACTCCAACACCGTAGGCCCTAACAACTCCCAAGCCCGAAATCTTCAGCCCTGATATAGCCCTAATCCTGGAGCCCTAAATCCCACCAAGAAGCTCCTAGGGCTATAGCCTGAACATCGATCTTGCGAGGTGGGTGAGCTCCGACTAAAACAAGTCCCTGAGCTCCCGAAGGAGCCAGTTTTCATGAGCTTGTTTTTTTTGGGGTTCCTCCACGATGTTGTAGGGTTTTGTGGCGGTCTCTCTAGGTAGGGTTTGACAAGGGTTGATATAGGTTTTTTTGTGCAGTGACTGGGTCCTTAGAACGACGACCTTGATGCATGCAATGTAAGTGTGTTTATGACTTTATGATATTACATGCAAAACATGACGTGCAGTCTACTTGTATGTGAATACGTAAACAACCAAGTATGTAAGTGTAGGGGTGTCAGTCAGTACGTAAGAAGCAAGTGTACACATAATTATGCAAGTATACAATTATGTAAGTATGTAAGTATGTAAGTATTTAGGTGTTTGCGGATGAACGTTAGTATGCATGTGAGTTTGTAAGAATGTGTGTGTAGGCAAGCAAGTAAGCATGTACGCAGGTAAGTACTGTATGTATGTATGTACATATGTAAATATGTAAGTCTGTAAGTATGTTAGTCTGTTAGTATGTGAGTATGTTAGTATGTGAGTATGTAAGTGTGTGAGTATGTAAGTATGTAAGCAAGTACGTATATGTGTATGCATGTATGTATGTATGCATGTATGTAGGTATCTATGTCTGTCTGTATGTATGTATGGGTGTATAGTAGGTCTGGTGGTAGTAGTAGTAGCAGCACGGAAAACTAATAATGACAGCGGTAATGAATAGCATCACATTGATACTACTGCACAGAAGCTTGATTCTGGACAAAGCCGCCTTGAATTGCTAGACAAAAATACATAATGCGAGGATCCCAACGGCGACGATGTTTCAGCCAAGCTCTCCTTGATGCTGAATCGCGGCTCCACGGTTGGGCGCCAAGTTATTCTCGAGTCTTGCAGAGCCTGGTCTTCCGACGTCGAATAGTACAGTAACAAAGTATACGTAATGTGATATACAGTATACTTTAATACAGCATGGAGCTTAAGCAAGTGCCCGAAACGCTGTTTCCAAAGACATAAGACGCCCCCTAAACCCTAAACCCTAAACCCCCAAACCCTAAACCCCTATATAAACCCTAAACCCTAAACCCCTAAACCCTAAACCCTAAACCCCTAAACCCTAAACCCCTAAACCCTAAACCGTTCAGGAGAAGCTTACGCATTGCACCATCCGAGCAGAGCTGGAAAGAGTGGCTCGGGGCCTCGGAGAAAAGAACTTCGGGTTCCTTAAAGGGGATTTATAAGGGTTCCTTAAAGTTCCCTTAAAGGGATCTATAGGGGATTTATAAGGGTTCCTTAAAGTTCCCTTAAAGGGATCTATAGGGGATTTATAAGGGTTTAGGGTTCAGGGCTTCTAGGGGTTTTAGGGGTGTTTTGGGGATCCCAAGTTCCCGGAATCTAGGGTTGTCGGCGTTTAGGGTTCAGGGTTTAGGGCTCACGGTTTTCGAGCTCAGGGCTGCATGGTCGTGGTTCCAAGGTTGGGGTTCAGGTGGGCTTTGTGGTGGTTTTGAGGTTTGGGCTTAAAGATGCTGAAAGAACCCTGAGTTTGTTGGCCTAAGCCAAACCCATTTCACTTCAGTTTTGGGGCGCTGCTGATCCTAAACGCAACGCAAACCCTAGACCAAGGAACCTTACCCTAGGAGTGTCGGGTTTCGGGTTCTAGGGTCCATAGGGATTTCGGGGACAGGACTGTCGCAGGAGTTATCAGTATTAAAGCACCCAGAAACAGGTCGTTCCAAATCCAGATCAAGTCAGTCTTACTTTGATTGTTGATATTATTATCACTCTTCAAAATCATTACCATTATTGGTAGTATTACTGTGATTATTTGTTATGTTTCGTTGTTTATGATTGTTTTTTCCTGCTTTACTACTACTATCAAGGTGCCGGCACTTACCGGTCCGGACGACCCTCGGTGGCAGGGCGCTGGAACCCTGGTGCAGGATGTGGGGGAAAGTGTATATCATACTTGTACATGAGGTCGTTGTGCTTGGGTGAGTGCATTCCATTGCTACTGCAATTTTCTTCATTCTCCTTGCAACTGTGTAATATACTGACTCTATCAGTTTGTTACTTTGATCTGCTCTTCTATGCCATGCGCCATTCTGCTTGACGACTGCTGACTTGCTCATAAAGCCTCAGGCAGCATCGTCGCACGTTGGGTTTCTGCGCAGACCCTGCAGTTCCCACCTGACTTGTTACGCAGTCGTTCTTCCAGATCGTTAGTTCGTTGTTGCACGAGTGGGGAACGCGGCTCGATGTTGCCACAGACTAAACAGACCCTAGACCATGAATCACGTGAATCCCAAAACCCGACCTGAAACCCTAAAGCGCTCCACCCTGAAACCCCTGAGCGCTAGAACCGTAATGACTCTAAAACTACCTAAGCAGGAAACTGTTGCGATGATGGCAGGAGCGCTTTCGCGGGGAGCACCTCCTTGAGCAAGGTCCGAGATAGACAGACCAAGCAACCGCAGGTTTGCTTTAAATGGAGTGTTTGCAGGATTTGCATCCGTTTCATCGATTTTTTTGACATAGTCCTTGAAGCTTCAGGTTCCTTGGCAGTTTCAAGTTGAGGGGGCAGATCTCCAGGTTAAGGGCTCAGGGTTTAGGGATTAGGGTTTCAGGGTTACAGTCCAGAGTTCAAAATCAGAGGTGTCAGAGTGCCTTCATGCCTTCGGTCTCTACGGTTTAACATGTAGGATGCTCTCATTGCGGGTTTCCCACAGAAATCCTTTTCAGCAGTTTAAGATGATCAGATTCCGGGCTTAGGAGACAGTCGGTTTCCCTTCCCATGTCATGCTGGCTACATCTGAGGGTGAAGTCGGGTTTTGCTCCCCAGAGACTCCAATATGCCTTAATTAAGGAATATTCCTTAAATCAAATTAGGGATCCTACTATAGTTTAAAGTATATTCCTTAATTAAGGGACATTGGAGTCTCTGGGTGTTGATGGTTGGAGGGAATCAACCGCAGAGTGGGGTCTGCTGTTAGACTCTCGATGCAGAGGTTGCATCAAGTCGGAGGGAAGATTTCTCTAGATCTTATGCTTGGGCCATCCAAACAACAAGGCCTTGTTGAGTTGGACAATACCGACGTTGTTACTTTTGGGGTCTTGGGGTTAATGCTCTTCAAAATGATGTTGTCAACCTGGATTTGGGTTAGGCTTGTTCTAGGCTAAGAATATGCTAAGGATCCCCTTCAGATGTGTTCATGGCTGGAACCGTCGGGGAAGGATGCCAGTGTGGGACTGTCGCAACGTTGTGGATTCCCTCCTTTCTCAATCTCGGAGCTCCTACAAGGACCGAAACCCCAAGTCGTAGGACTTCCGGGTACCACAACGCCTTCATCCCACCCTTTGAAGCCCCTACCCAGAGCCTCCAAAACCCCTTAATTAAGGAATATACCTTAAATTATAATAGGACCCCTAATATGATTTTAAGGTATATTCCTTAATGAAGGGGTTTTGGAGGCTCTGGGTATCTCGGCCCTGGACCCAAAACACCGACTCCAAGTTCGAGCAGTAAACCAACCCAGGCTCAGATTTTTCGGGCAGTAGCGCTAGGGGCGATAGGGGATAAGCGGTTTGGGGGTTGCCAGTTTGGGGATTTAGATGTTCGGGGTCAGTGCACCCCGCGACTGAGATTTCTGAATCCCACAAGCCGTGAAGTCTGCTCGCAGAAGCTCTGCAGATATAGGCAGCCAGCCTTCTCTTGGCTGTCGGGGCAACAGGTATGCTATACTGCTTGCTAGCTGTTGCAGACCTAGTTTAGACAAGCCCTCCATGCGAAACCCTACAAAACCACTCTTCCAACCTAGGCACTAAACCCCAAGCCCTAGGCCCAGGCCCAGACCCTTGTAGTAGGCTTTTCGGCCCATGATACTATAATCATCATAGATAGAGAACCCCCCCAAATAGTACAGGAAATACAATCATAAGAAGGAACCCTAAGGAACCCCAAAATAGTAAAGGGTTATTAAGGCTCTCTAAGCAGAGGCTACGAGGCCGCTGCATTGGCGCGATTACGCCGCGCCCGCACCCCAGAAGAGGGTTCGATTGTCAGACATGCATGAGGTTGAGGGTTTGAATTAGGGTCTTACTCAGGATTCCTTGCCCTACTTCGAGAACCGCCATATCGCAAGTCCTACGATTTGAAAAAGGCTAGTGAGCTGAGGCTCTAAACACCGGATTCGGCTTTTGGATGAACTCTAAACCCGAAACCCCAAAGACTAACCCGAAAGGAGAACACAAAGGCATGAAAACTCAAGGTTCCCTTCCCGTCCTCTGCTTGCTCAACCTTTGTAACACTTTGAGAAGATTTCGGTTGAATCTGCCTTGTCCAGCGAGCGCTCGTGGTTCGTCCCTTTAGTTTGCCCCAAGCCCAAAGGAAGGCCCCCATGTGAAGACTTGCCTTTCTGAAGTGTGAGAAGTATATTGAACCCTCGACCGTGGAAATACCATCTGAGGTCGTCGAGTGGTCTCAGCGAGTTCCAGAAGATCAGGCGCTGAGCCTTCCTCCAGCTTTTCGATCACCTGGCCGTAGCCGGGCTTTCGAGATTGCAGGTTTTAAGGGCTCTTGGATGTAAAGTTTTTGATTGTTCTTTCAAACCCGTGCCGTGGCCTCAACATGAAAAGCCTGCGAGTTTCGAATCTGTGGAACTTCAATCCCAAAGCCGTACCGAATCCTGAAGCCGCAGTGCAGCAATCCCGGAGTCTCTAGCACAAGTGAGCACCGCAAGGCTTCCACACTTCGGGACGTGGCGGCTGCCAAAGCCTCCATAGGCCTCGACGCTTGGGACAGAGTGATGCCGCAGCGACACCCTAAACCCTAAACCCTAAACCCTAAACCCCAAACCCTAAACCCCAAACCCTAAACCCTAAACCCTAAACCCCAACCATGGTGATGAAGGCTATTGTAGTTGAAGCAGCAGCTGTATCAGTCGTCCTTGTGCTCGCATTCCTCCAGGTTGAACTTTCAGAGCTCGTTAGAATAGGGTTTTGGAGCCCATTGAACGAAAATGATAAAAAGGAAATCCCAAGATAGCATTGGTAATTCTACTGAAGCTTCAATTTTCTAAAGTTTGAGCCGAAGGCTGGACTCTCGCCGCGCGGGCTGCGCCCATATTGGACTCCGGTAGCGCGTGGAAGCCCGGTGACTGCTTGTTGGATCTAGGTTAGGATCCATATTTGAGTGTGTCACTGCTTCGAGTTCCGGAGTGCATGCAGGGTTCCTTTGCTGGAGTTTTGAGTTCTGGGATGTAGAATTCAGGGTTTCGCATTGAGGTGAGCAGGCCTTTAGTGCTTTCGCGTGTTCCTTTGTGGCGGACCTGGCCGGAATCCTTCCGGTGATAGACTGTCATGCCGTGAGCTTGCGCCGACACGCCATTCCAAAGTATCGTTGATACATTGTACATCACTTGCTCTTGCAGGCGCCGCCATTCTGCCTCAGCATCCTAGATCATTTCGTGTTTTCAGCACTCTTCGAAGTCCTGACAGCATGGCAGGCATGAAGGCAGCCATTGCCACCCTTCTGACGCTTATCACCCAAGTTCGTGCCTGGGGAGAAGTTGCTCTGCCCACATGCAAGATCAACGGCAAGAAAGAGTTTGCAACTGGACGTGACTGCGTAGCAAAAGTCGAACAGCTTGCAGATGACGCGGTGAAGTTCTCAGTTGCTGTACGAGCTGATGACACTGACACATTGTCAGAGGTGTTGGATGTCGCGAAGAAGTATGGTGACACGGCTGTTGTCGCACCTCTCGCGGCAGCTGCCAAACAGGGATGGAAGCAATTCCAGCATCAACTGGAATCGCAGATGCGAGATGGCAGGGTTGTCGGCTGGCAAGTTGGACATGCGGTGGGGAGTACTGTTGGCAAGCTTGCTGGTGGTGCGAGCCTCGGATCTCTCGGATTCGCCGTCGGCGCTCAGATTGGTGGCTTGACTGGCCTGGCTGCTGGGCTGGTACCATATGCAGCTTCCGCAACCCTTTGCCCACAGTGCGCACTTACCGGGCTCTTTGCAGCTTCTGCAGTAGTCTCAACGTCACTGGGCACAGTCGCCGGTGCATACAAAGGTACGGAGCTTGGTGTTTCAACAGGGGCAGCGCTTGGCGAAGTCGTTGGTGGCGCGGTCATGGGCTTCATTGGGAAGGAGCTGGGTGGGACGCTTGGAGCCGGTTCTGCCATTGCTCAGGGCGTTCTCTTCCAACTCCCGCAAGGCTTGTCCCTTGCGATCGATTATGTGCGTGAGGTGGATGGTACCATGAAGCTGCTTACATATCATGTTGTCTTTACTCCTGACGGCAGCGAGCTGTGATTGAGGTGCCTGCTCAAGGGTGTCACCCACTGTATATAAGATACTGCAGGCACGAAAAGCCACAAGCGCTTCATAAAGGTACAAGGTCTCATTGGGCACTGCGGCTTCTTCGGGAGTCCTTAACTGCCTGAGGCGAGTGTGTCTTCATGTTGTCGTACCAACATAGACAAACAGGGCCTTTGAAGCTCAGGCAGAGCTTGCAAGCCAGTTCAGGGTCGCAGAGAATCGGAGGAAAGTTTCGGAGGCCAGATATGAACCGCGTACCCTGCGGATTCTAAGGGACCTGGTGGCTGTGCATCGTTCGGAGTATTTTTGGAGTTGTGGCCATGGCCTGAACATCGATCCTGGGCTTCGTCGTTCATGTCCCAGCTACTTCGTCTGCAAGCGCACTCCGCGGGGCAACGGCTTCTGTCGCTTTGTAGGGCAATCGTTTCGGGCAGTGATAGGAAGTACCACTTGAGGCCCTGCAAGTCCGGAGATCTGCCTTTCAACGGCTTCAGTGCTACTCGTAACAGTAACTTCTCTCACTCCAACCCCCAAGCCCTAAACCCCGAACCCTGCAAAAACTGGAGTCGCACTCCCTCAAACTCTGAGCTCTTGGACACGCCTTAGACACGAATCTCAGGTCTCTTCCGAGGTCCTCAAGTCCGCTCGAAAAGATCTAGCCGAGGCGGAGGTTCGTCTTGCGTCTGGCTGGGATAGTGTTGGGCCCTTGCTTTGTACGACAGTTTGGGGCGGGCTCGTTATTTTTATTGTTATCATGATTATGTTATTATGCTTATGATTAGTACTATTGTCATTATTAGTGTTATGATGATGATGATTATTATTAGTATTGTTTGAAGCGATGGCTGATGCTAAATGAAAGTGGTATCTTAGCTGCAGTCTCATTTAACAAGCTGCAGACTTCTGAACCAGAGCAAGCAGCCATCCCACAAGATATCGATCAGCTCTGAGTGTTGACCAGCTGTTGGAATAGTGGTCAAAATCAAATTCATCATCGTGTTGACCAACAGC